ACGGAAGAAAGGTGGGTGTTTCCCATAAATAGATGGCTTGCGTTGGAGAGAGACGACGGTCAAATAGAGGTTACCGTGGACAGCACGACTTACTCTGCCTTCTCGGCTCAGGTTCGTTCGCGCTTTGCTCGAAAAATTGCCGACAGTCACCTGTGGATGTCAGTGTTTGGAAAAGCATGTAGCAGCACCTTCACACGTGTGCAAAGAGCTTCATGTTGTCTTTCAGTTCTGTTTAGTGCAATGATAGCTAATGCCATGTTCTATAACATTGGTGGTGAATCCGATGGTGCTATACAGGTTGGGCCTTTTAAGTTTTCTTGGAGACAGATTGTCATCGGAGTACAAAGTGGTATTATCATTGCACCTATAAACATAATAATTGCCTTCCTGTTTAAGTCTAGCAGACCGAGGAAGAAAAGGAGTGAAAAATACCAATTTACAGGCGAGGCCCAACGACTTTTGGATGAAATAACGAACACCGGTTGTATGCTTCCTCATTTCTTTGTCTATGTGGGCTGGTTTCTCTGCTTCTGTACGACTATGGCAGCAGCAACATTTACGCTGTTTTACAGTCTAATGTGGGGAAAGGAAACCTCTGAGCAGTGGCTTGCTTCCATCTTGATTTCCAATGGACAAGATATTTTCGTTATGCAGCCTACGAAAGTTATGATTGCAGTCATCGCTATTTCCTTTCTCCTGATCAGAAAGAATAAAGACCAACGTGAAGAAGAAAAAGAGGAAATTGCAATCGATCCACTTGCAATTGAAATAGACTTTGTAAGTGATGATCCCAAACAGCGATTTAAGAAATATCAGCGGGAAAAGATGAGGGAGAGATCAAAAAGAGAAGCTAAGTTAACAAGCATGACAAGAGACATTATCCTTCATCTGATATTTATGTTTCTTCTGGCTATCGTTTCTTATGGAAACAAGAATGGAAATCGTTTCCTGATGACAACTGAGATTAGAAATCGGTTCACTAAATTCAATGTGGTAAGATTATCGTTTTGGCCAAAACACACTTTCTAGTTTGAAGATAGAAGGCATTTTTTGTTGTTATTGCCCTTTTGCAAGAGAATCCTAAAACCGTTGAAGAATTGAAATGACCTTTAAAAGAAAAATTAGAACTAAGGTTAACCCTCTAACTACCAGATCACATTTTCAATTCTCCTTACTGTCAACCATACTATTTTTATAATATTAGTGCAGAGAGTTTGGTACTAGATCGACTTAGTATCCCCAAATTTATGTTTTTCTTTATTCTCGTCACTTATCTGGCTAATATTGCATTGATATTGTAAGGAGAAATTCTGTGTTGGTCACTAATGGGAGTTAAAGAGTTAAAGCATTGATCCCTGTAGGTGAGCTGCAATTAGAGAAAGATGCCTCTAAATGCTAAGGTTTCGACAGGACGCCAATCTGTGCCTTCCACATCCCAACTGATCTACGAAGCCATATGTTGGAAAAAGGCTAATTATTATAGTTAGTTTTTTACTCTCGGTAAGGAATCTGAACACTTTTGATTTAAAATTACATTTCAATTAAAAAAACCAAGTATTTCAATCAAATGCAAGAACAAATAAAAGGAACTGCCTTTTGTTTTGTTAAACGATTGTGTTTATTTGTTATTTTGATAAATACATCAACCTCATCAGATAACAATGTCAACAGCTCAAATGCAAGAACGAATATTAGGATCTGCCTTTTGTTTTGTTAAACGATTGTGTTTTTTTTTATTTTGATAAATATATCAACCTCATCAGATAACAATGTCAACAGCTCTCAGAGTCATGTTTTTCATTTTAGGTATATGATGCACAAAGATTTGAGGCATGGTTAAGAAACGAATTTCTGTCGAACATTTATAATCAGGTGTGGTATAACGGACTTGAAGAGAAAAACGAAGTGTACATCGAAAACAAAATGTCCATACTAGTAGGAATGCCCTGGCTGCGACAGCTCAGAATTAAAAAAGGTATACTCAATTGAGATTGATCTATTTTCTTTCTTTTTTTTTAATGCACAGAATAAATTTCGAAGAAGGCTCTTATTGCAAAGTGCTTAGACCAATGAAAGTAATAAATTATAGGAAATGTATAGAGGGCCTAATTTTGAACTGATGGGGCGTACCCACTTCTACTAAGAGTATCTGCTACTTATTAAAGTCAGTTTTCAACTTTGATGATCACGCTGTTGCTCACTTCCCGGTGTGCTGAAAATTACACGAAAAAAAAACTTTCAAGTTACACACCTTAGAAATCACTGGATTTTTAAATAGGACATTGATTTTGAGATATAAATGTTAAAGAATCAGTTTGTTTATTTTCTTTTCAATGAAACATCATTAATATATTGTACTTCTCCTTCAAGGTTTTTGCGAATCCCCTCCTAGAATTATCTCAACTTGCTACTACGACTATTCCTCAGACATTGAGGACACTACTTCCCTAAGCCTTCCAGGCTGGAAGCCTCTTCCCTTCAACACATCGTGGCCAAATGCTTTAGAAATGTGCCCGAAACCTTGGCGATACCAAACAGCAGCAGAACTTCGCAACTATCCTGTCCAGGCGGCATACAATTCATATGAAGGGGGTGGTTATGCAGCTGTTATGGGATATGACGAAACCACTGCACAAGGTGTCCTCGATGAAACTATTGGCCACGGTTGGCTTGATCGCCAGACTCGAGCTGTAATTCTAGAGTTTGCTGTTTTCAATGTCAATACAAACTTGATTAGCGTCGCCACATACTTTTACGAGGCCATAGCTACTGGTGCAGCCTACACTACAAGGAGAATTGAAACACTGGAGTTGTACAGCACTGAGTCAGGAGCTCTGATGTTTTTCTTAATTGGCCAGTTTCTGTTCATGGCAATGGTTCTCTTTTACTTCATAGTTATGTTAGTTCACCTTTATCGACAACGCTTCGGGTTCTTCAAGTCTGTTTGGAACATGGTAGATTTCTTCTTGATAATTTTCTCTGTAGCATCTGTAGCATTCTACATGATTAGAGCTAAAAGCGTTTTGAACACTATCAAATCTATTCAATCAAATCCATATGAAGTCATGCATTTCCGCACAGCCTTGGATTGGCTTAACCTTGAAAATATTTCTATTGCTGTTGCTGTTTTCATGGTGACAGTCAAGCTTCTGAATCTAATTCGTTTTAATCCACATGTGATATACTTGTTTTCATCTTTTCGGCAGTCTGTAGGCTATCAACTCTCGTATATGTTTTTCTTTCTAATCGTGTTTAATGCATTTGTCGTAACGGGTATGCAGTTATTTGGTGGTATAGTCCTTGAGTACTCTAGTTATCTTAATGCTGTAATGTCACAATTCGAATTCCTGTTAGGAAAAGCGGTTCCGTTACATGCTCTGCGGAGCGACAAACCCTTTATTGGTCCTACATTTGCGTTTTTGTTCTGTCTGTCCACTACTATTTTCCTAATGAATATGTTAGTTTCTGTACTCAATGATTCCTATAGTGACGCCAAAGCAAACGCCGAGGAAAGCGCAGAAGAGCTTGAAATGGCGCGCTTCATTGAAGAACGTGTAAAGGAAATGTTTCATGAAGGGAGCGGTGGGACGGAATTTAGGTTATTTTGTGATGAGACAACTTTTGTTAACATGTGCCTTTCTGAAGCAGAGCCCTTCTGTTTGAATTCTGAAGCTATTATTCGGAGCACAGAGTTACGAATGGAAAACGCGGAGAAAAGACTGTCTGCTCTCACTAAACGAACAGAAAGCATGGAAGCTGACCTCTTACAGGAGAAAAATGACTTTATGAATCTCCTGCACACAATAGCATATTCTTTTGAACACGTTCCAGACAGACAATCATAGGTTGATCCCTGAAATAGAAAGTACTCCTACTTATTCCTATGAAGATACAATTATGTTAATCGTGATGAGCAATAAACTATATCGCACTTACGAATCTTGTTTTCAAAGGTATTCAATTTCATTGCGGATCTAAAATCTGACGATAGTTTCTCCATAACCTAGGCCCATTGGGTTCTCTAATAGATACTATGACCGAGATTATTTCTTTTCTGCCACATGCAATCGTCAGCAGTTGTGAGGTGAGAAATTCACGAGTCCAACTTACTTTGAAAATTGATTTTACATCGATCGAAAAATCTTAAGAATAGGTCATTTTTCTCTGCTGTCGATAGGGCTACTCGTAGATGAAATATGGCTTACTTGAGGTAAATATCCCGAGAGAGGGCATCGCGAGGAAAAATGAGGCTAGAAATATAGACAGCTATGAGACTAATGAAAATCGCCATCGTCTTGCTTCCGGTGGGAGCTTATTTGATGGCGAGTTTTGCTTTCACCGATATCATTTCTAAGAAATATGGCACCTCTGTGCCCAACTGAAAAAACTTAGATTTAAGTATTGCTTTTGTACATTATGACTATGATTTATTACAATAAATCAACTCTTATGTTACAATGTTGCTGATTAAGAATTAAAAGCGATTTCTAGTGAAATATTAACGTTAAAATGACACTGTGTCTCAAAATTATTGTCAATGCTAGTAAACATAAGGCGGAAAATAGACGGAACCGCATAGGCCATAAAAGACAAAATCGACTGGTACATGAAGTCTTCAGGTCATCTTGATAATGTAACAGAGGACACTAAAGTCACTAAATATAGTGTTAGCGTTGGTCCTCCAATAGTTGGAGGATAATTTTAAAAGAAGGGAAATGATAGAGCATTTAAAAAAACACTGCTTTCTACAGCATAAAAGCCTAAATAAATTCCTTTGTACACGCACAAAGGAACTTTCTATCATTTATTTCAGTTTTTTACACAAGCATACTCGGCAAAAACGGATCCTAGTGTTTTTTAACAGAAGTCAAATTAAAGATCTTCGAGTGAGATTTTTACAGAAGATGCCGCTGGGGAAGAATTGTTGGCATGTTGTTCTTGAAAAATTTATCCTTCCCTTCTCCTCAAAAAAGCGTCCTTTCTTGAATTCTAGTGGGATTTTACAGTTTAGTATCTTCCTCTTTCTGGCGATCTAGGCCAAATAGAAGTGTTTTGATAAATTCTCCCATACTATATGCTTCCTCAAGTTTCTCTTCGTCGCCCTTTACATCGTGTAAATTTATATCAAGAATAGACACAAAAATGTTGATCAGAAGAATTGCAAGTGTGACCATAAAACTGGCAGTGAAAAGATTACCAAAGATTCTATTGACATCATCGAGTTGGACAACGTGAAAGGTGTTCCCAAGTGCTAATTCAAATTCAGAAGCGAACGAGCGGATGAACGATGAAAATGAAAACACTGAGCCACCAAAAACCATGTAGGCAAAATGCCCATGTGCAATAAATAGTAATCCGAAGAGAACACTTATTGAAAAAATGTCATTTTTTGCAATGGCTAACGACCACGCTAGTATTTGTACCTGCGGATTAAGTCGAATGAAATGCAGAATTTTGAACGTGGCAAAGAATAAAGCAAATGAAAGAGCAGCATGTTCCATTTCAGTCCAAAAAATTGCGAACTGAAAGCTTACTGTCACAAATGGATTCCTTCGCACTTCTTGGATACTGTCATGCATAAACTTAACTTTCATAACGTAAAACACAACTGCAAGCGAGGCACTCACAATTTGACCAACATCTATCCAGTTCCATATTCGCTTGAAAAATGCACCTCCTTTACGACATAGTCTTATAAGAAGTATCGTGATATACACTAACACCATAAATATAAATATCAACTGGCACATTAGGTAAAAGCTGTAGGCCATAGTTTGAAAATTAAACAATTTTATGGTGTCAATCCTTTCGTAAGTAAGCCCAAATCCGAAAGGAAGAACTTCGTAATGGTACGTGATAATGCTCATTAAGTTAGTGTTCAGGTTCAGGACTTGAAATTCAAGCAGAATTGCCCTTGTTCTTCTATCAATCCAGTCTTTGTCTTTAACAGCCTCCATCACACGGATAGCAGTCGGTTTATCGTATCCCAAATCGAGAACGTACCCTCCACCGCCATATATGTGATGTTGTGCCCACGATGGAAAGTTATTGAGCTCCTCTGCAGTTGAATAACGCCAAGGCTTAGGACAAAGTTGTGATAGATTGTTCCAGCTAAGCTGTGAGTCTGACAAGTGAATCCAATGAGGAAGATAAAGGCGTGTTGTATCCTCCTCTGACATCGAGTAAAAGTCATAGCATTTATCAATCATATCCTCAAGCTCTTTCACAACGGTGCATGATTCTATTTTTGAAACAAAGCGAGCAGAGATTACACATTAAAACTCAAACCTTACGAGATTAACCAAGTACTAAAAAATTATCGTCATTTTTATTGCACAACCACATTCTACTTTCGACATACGCAAATTTATCAATTTAAGCCTCTGTGAGAAATCATTCTACTCCTTTCGTTACAAACATAATGAAAAGCGTGAAAACGACAAATACCTTCATTTATCCTCAACTGTCGAAGACGAGGCATTCCAATGAGCATGGAAGCTTTGTTACCAATGTACTCTGTCGTCGGCTCAAACTGTCCATTGTACCACTCACCGGCATAAGAGTCATGGATGAACTTTCCCAGCATGTAATCCCACATTTTGTCACCAGTGTTTACCTACATAAGACAAAAAATACAATAATGTTTGGTAAATCAGGAATAGAATAACGTTGTTGACGTTCATCATTTTGGAAATCTGGATTTTAAACTTCACCTATATTGACAGCATATACCATTAAATTGTACCTTAAGAAGGAGGAAAAGTGAGAGAGTCCTTAGATTTCAAATTCAGTGGGTAAAACTTCATCGCGAAATTAAATGGCTGACATTGAAAAAGAAGTCCTTTGGAACCATATTTAAATTCAAGTTGCCCAAAAATTCCACCCTATGCCATTATGAAATCATGCTCTCAGGCATTCAAACTGACCTACTCTTTTTGGCACTTTCCTACTGTCATCCTGGTTTATTCATACAGAGATTGACATGCCGCAAAATTGTAAACCTAGTGTCTGTAGATCAATTCAGTTCGGACTACCATCGGCACTGCCAATGGGTTGAAGTATCACTAGATAATTTTTTGTTGTGGCAAAGTGAAAAATGAATGCAAAGTAGTTTTCCGAAAATTCCCTATCATCAAGACATATTTTTGCACAAACCTTGTAGAAATAGGCGAAACCGTCACGCGTGGCTTTAGTCATCAGGTACCTATGATAATCCTTGTCTCCATAAGCTACAATCATCAAAAAGAGATAAAAGGCCAAAAAAGCCAAAAATTGTCGCGCAAATCTAAAAAATTTTGCCTTCCGTAATTCATAGGCACGTTGCTCTCGTATCTCCTCTGCAAAGGATGTTCCATCGCAATTTTCAGTTTCATCGGGTGGCTTAGGTCTTTTAAAAATTAGAATCAATAACAAAGCTAATACTAGGACTTTAGAAGGTTGCCAGATGAAAACATCTTCGACACAAGATACCAAGACAGAAGCTAACCATTGATCAGCAATTTCTTTACCCCATTGAAGGCTGTAAAATACTGTAAACGTGGCAGCCGTCGCTGCTGTTGCAATGCAGAGAAACCAGGCAGGATAAACAAAGGCATGGGGAAGTAAGAATTGTTTCTTGTTATTTTTTGCTGAGGACATTTCAGGAGAATTATTGTTTGAATCGCCGTCTTCACACTCTCCGTTCGTTTTTGCCTTTCTGAAGCGGAATAATGCAGTTATGATAATACTCACTGGTGTAACTATCAGTGTACTCTCAATTCCAATAATTAGCTGCCGAAGGGACATTTGCAATGGTCCTATCTGGATCAAATCCTCGGAACCGCCAACTACCAGATAAAACATGGCGTTACATACCATTGCCAAATACAGAAAAGAAAGGCAGCAAGAGGCACGCTGAACGCGTGTGAAGAAATTCCGTGGTGGCCTCGTAACGACGGAGGCCCAGATGTGGTAATCGGCCAGGTCTGCTGAAGCCATTGAGTGAAACATACTTTTAAACCCAGGACTGTGCTGACCATTATCATGGGACATGAGAGTCGCAGCAGTGGTTCCATTCCCTTTGTGAAGAGCCAGCCAATTATGATAGAAGAAATCCCACTTTTCCCCTGTACTTCTTTCAACAATATGAACTTGATCAAGGAACCAAGAAGAACTTTTTCCACTGTTGTCATGCCACATTTCAACTTTAAATACACTTCCGAGCTGACTGTCAAGGTGAAGAACGAACCTATCAATGCTGCCTCTTGCAAAAAGTTTTCTACCAGGTGGAGCGTTGCCAGTCAAGTTGACCTCCTTAGTAGAGCTCTCAGTTCCGTAGATTTTAGCAAATACGCTTGCCGATGTGCCAGCTTGTCTCCATACTCCGGTTATTATGGTCACATCATACTTGTATGAGCTGTTCTCGTTGTGTTTTATATTCACAGTTGGACCCAACTGCCAAGAAAAAGTTATTATCATGCTATTAGACGACGGTCAATTACATATCTCTTGGCAATTCCAATGAAACCCATAGAATAACTGGTTAGATAAATAATACTGATTTCTGGTACCTTACATGACTTCGAATGCGCAGGTGCATCGAATTTCCAAGAATGTTTCTAGTATCGGCACGAAACATGAGTAATAGACCACCCTTGTTATCGATTGACCGGCGGAATAACTCAAGCTGCTCAGGATGTTAGGTGAACGCCAAAAAAGTTTATAAAGTGCTTAAGGTGGCGAGTGATTTACAAAATTTTTTAGTGCCCTCCGAAAGTCCCAAGATACTTATTGCGTTGGTGAACCAATAGAAAGTGCGGTCTATTGCTTTTATAAAATCCATTTTTAAATCTTAAAAGAAAAAGCAGTATATTTTTTTTCAATTTCCTATGGGTCTACCACTGCAATAAACGGTAAGTTCTTTTAAGTAACCAGTGCGCTTGTAGCATCTCAGACATTTCATAACCAACAAGACAACGTACCTTTCTATCATCTAACATATCCGCTTTTCTCGCCCAGATAATTACCAACACATAGACGCCAAAAATGCCACACACAGTTGACAGTACCACATAATTTCCTGTTTCACCGAGCTTGGTAAATTCTACGAAAACTTTGTCGAAGTCTATTGGATTTGGAGCAATGAGGAAACCACCGGCGAACGCAGTTAGATGGTTACATTTACAGTGAAGTAGTTGTTCGTTCGTCTCATCACCGACCTAAAGAAGTCAAGAAATAACATTCTATGGTTTATGTTCCGAGAGATGCCGAGTATGTCATGATGCTGCACCGGTGGAGCGTCAGTAAGAAACACAATAAACTGGGGACAATGCTCCTAGTTATGACTAATAACCCGGAGGTTGAGAAATTTTGCAAATTTTTTTTTTTTTTTTTTTCATCATGCTCGGTATCCCATTCTAATATTACTTTCTGGTGAAAATGTATCCACTTCTTAGAACTGTGCCAATATAGCGGATTGATAAGGCAGTCTGGTCAAAGTACTGTAAACAGAGACAGCCTAAGGAGTAAGAATCTGCGCCAGAAGGGTCTTATATTGGTCTTAAATCAACCCTTTACACCCTAAGATCGGTATGCATATTCTCCATACTGCTATTTATACATTTCCTAAGGTGTTGAAAAGGAGAATTTGATTACGAATCAAAAGCTTCTTTTGTCGGTGATAATTTCCTTTATTTTCAAGATCTTAACGTGTGATTCAGGGGTGATATTGAAGGGGGAAATTTGATGGTAGTCACTCTTAGGTTTTAAAAGGTTAATAGGGATTAGGCTCAATTATAGATGAATATATGCCAATTAAATGATTTAGTGCTCTATTTCTTCTCGGACAAACATCCTAACCTTGCAGCCATCTTTACTCCACGTGTTCTGCGTCAAGGAGAAATAATAACAGCTGTATTTCTGAACTTTGACACTGTAGTTCTGGTCAGTGGCGGGATTATAGGTTAATGTTCTATTGTACTCTACTCCTCTCACTGGAGGAGGCTTTGGCTCTACACAGTCCCTTTTTTGTCTCTTTCTTCCGAAGCATGAACGTCTTGTTCGGGTGTGATTTAGCTGAGACTTTTCAATGTACAACACGCCGACATAGTATAGACCCGTCTGGTTAAAATCTCCAGTGGACATGACTCTGTATGGACTTGTGACGCATTTAAGGACCAGGTTACCATTGAGAGCATCATAACGACAAGAAGAATAATCAGGTATAACAGCGTAAAAGTCAAAGTCGCTCAAAGTTGGACGCCCTCCATGTTTAACATACACCACCATCATTAAACTTCGGTTGATTGGTTTAACTTCAAGGATGATAGAATCAGAAATTTCATCGAGCGTGACAATATGATATCGCATTGTTAGTGGTCTAATGAAAAAGTTATTTAAAGACTCGTTCCTAGAATCTAGAGGTATTTTGATGTCGATGTCGATGTCATCCCCACCGACAGGTAATACATTTCCATTATCGTCATTAAACTCAAGGCTCAGTATTTCCGACTTCACTTCCTGGTGAGTTTGATGCCACAGATATGGATTGAACTTGGTATGAATAAGCTGATAGGGAAAGAATCAATTTCAAATGGAACAGCCGGCCGTAAAGAAAGGATTGGAAGAATAGCGAGGAGAAAAGAAACGTAAAAAGGGACAGACATGAGAATGAAGAGAACAAAGGGATGGAGTGGAAGCCAAAAGTAGGAGGCACAAGAAATGAGATGGAAAGCGAAGGAAATAGATCACTATCCAAAGATAAAACTCACCTGATAGTCAATTGAATCTAAGTCTATCTCACCAAATGCTTTCTTCATATTGGGTGGAAGTACAAAACCCTGGCCCTCTGACCCGTTCAAAGTTTTTGACTCGAGTCCACAGGAGGTCTCGCGACCCGCCGTGAAATCTAAACCCAAAACCTGCATACTTTTCGGTGACTGCGAAACCGCTGATCTAGTCGTCAGAGTCCTAAGCAAGGTTCTGATGATGTTGATTGATTTCAGGACGATTTCTTTTTCCTAGGTAAGCAAATTTGAAAATCGTCGGATACCATCTGAGGTTAGAATTTTATTGAGTCGTATATATCAATGTGGCAATGAAGACGGAATTTAAAAAAAGCTTTTGATGAACTTAGTACGAAATCCTACAGCTCATTTCATTGCTACTGATAGTATCTGACAGTTCCCACCATTCTATGGTGTTATAGCAGCGCTGCTTCTCTCTGAAAAAGAAAAATTGGCCTGATCCGTTTCGACCTACCTGAGATCGGTTAGCTGCCGAGAGGCCACTGTCCTCAGTTATTTTAGCTTCCTCTGCGGTAATCATAAGTAGTTCCACTGTTCCAAACAACATGTTATATACTCCTTGAGAAATATATCGCTCATCTTTTGCGTTCAAATTATTAGCTTCGTGGAGTATAGTATCACTCATATTTCCAAAAATCTGTGGCAGATACCTCTGCAAATCAACGTGATATATTATGCACATTAATTTTGTTTTGTTTATAAAATTCCTGGAACTTTTGGCAGCACCCGCTGATCTCTTAAAAGTTTCACCCCCTAGCCAGCTTCATGGGAAGTTAGACGTTTTCAAGGAAAATAATGATATGTGGCTCTAAGATGTCGCACTCGCCATAAGAACAATGAAAGAAAAAATGGTGGATGACGAGTTGGGAAATATTGCTGGAGACAGCTAAAGAAGATAATAAAGAAAATTAAGGTGAGATGAGGAACACATTTCGTGGTACTATACACCGCAGAGAGTGTAAGAGAATGAATAGGCAAATAAGTACCTAGATATTTTGGACAATTTTGGCAAGTTATCTAAACAAAGGTTAGCCGTTGATTGTAAAAACTGCGTTCTAGACTGAATCTTTTCCTAACCATTTATATTTGTGAACAATTTCGAGGAGGCGAAACCTAGCAATGGAAGTTTGTTTAATCAAATCAACATTCTAGAGAGAATACCTGAGGCCCACTGCTTGCATAACACCGTGGTTTGGGCTGGTCTTCGTTTAAATTACCGGCCCACTGAGTCAGTCTCGAGTCCGAAAATGCGATAGTGTCTTTTGATTGGTGGAAAGTCCCGTTCATCATTTCCTAACTAAGAGCTTTCAATCAAGGCGGTTTTTATTACCCATCAACGATGAAAATTTTTTCAAAATAAATTGATAACTCTAAAACAGCGTATGCGAATGAATAATTTTTAATATAAAGCATTTTATGTAATATGTACGTTTTGTACTGCGTACAGAAACCTATCAGGGTCTGTACATATTGTCCTACAGAAAATTACCGCAATAAGGCTCAAAGCCAAGCCGAGTTAGTCTTTGTTAACCAGGGAAAGATGATTAATAGGAACTCTCTGGGGACAGTGAGGAAAATGATTAGACTTTGAAACGGAAATTCATTAAAGTGTCTTTACTCAGCATGATATTACCTTACTGAGATAGGACAACTCTGGCAAATTCCTCCCCGCTGAAGCCAAGAAAGCCGAGATGAACACCAAACCAGGTAGATCTTTAAATTCGTTTATCTGAAGTCTTCTGAGGGCGACATCTCTTTGCTTAAGAACAAGTACAATTAAGCACTATTTAGCATAATAAAAAGAAAAGAAAGAAATTTCCTTTCCGTAACAGAAGAATTTAACCCTATCAGGCATATGACCGTACTCCACAATGGTTTCGATCTGGCCATTATGTCTTCCTACAGTATGCGAACTACACTGGGTCTCTTATCCGCCATAGAGGAAAAATATCCAAATTACTACCCTGGTCGTCTTTGACTCGTTCTTTTGAAACCTTAAGTTCTTATCCTTTGCTATCTAAAGACATACATACTTCATTCAGGATTTAAACACTTACAGCAATTCTTTGTTGAAGCGATTTTTCTGAATTACTACCATAGACCAACTCCTGTGCCTCCGTTGTCAACAACATAGCCGTCATTAGCTGCCAGGCCTTATGTGACTCCATTGAGAGGAGATAATCCTCGAAGGCACTTGTGTTTTTAACCAGAAGCTCAAAGAGATCCATACTGGCGTTTGATTTGGGCGGAGTGACCTGCAAGATAAAAATGTTCTTAATATAGTTATTCTTCCTTAATGTACATCTAACTTGCAAGGCTTAGTTCACAAAAATTACTATTCTGACTCGATTTCGTTTTAGTATTCCCATCGCTGGTTCGCTGAATAATGTATAGATATTATAATGAGAAGTCACACGTTTTAACTTCTGAGAGTTAAGGTAATGACGTAAACAAATAAACGTGTCATAAGGTTATGGTTCCTCTAATCTCCTTAGCGATCACTCACAACCCAGTTCCTTCCACCCTTCCTTTTTCTCCCATACTTATCACACCTAAAGATCATAAAAGAATCATTATAAATTTAAATTTAGATATTTAAACTACAACTAAACGGTGACAAAATACAGCAGAATAGCTTCAAATCTCTTACCCTAACAGGAACATCCAACTCAGTGGTTGCCCCGTTGCTTCTTAATACGAAGACTTTGACGTTCGACCAATATCCATGAGAAGCATTCCCTTGAGGTAATACTAACATTTGTTTGGCTGAAGGGCCGTGATAATAGCTATAGTATATGGAGCCTTCCCCGGAGATTTGAATTTCGTATGTGAACGTTTCGTTAATTGCAAACCATCCGAAGCATAGCAGTTCAAATAGGGTATACACTGCTTCACCAGTGTCGGGTGTTACAACGCAAGATCCTTCTTTTGGAAGGAGCGCAGTCTTGAAAACCTGTACGCTTTTAGAAGGAGTGTCGTTCCTAAGTATCACAGTCATTTCGAGTCGATATTTTGTATTGTCTTGAAGAATCTTTGGATCGATTGTAAATACTTTTGTTCTTTCTGGTTGATTAAAGACTTCCAACCATCCCGCGTTTTTGTCCTCCTGGTAAAGAATCCATTGATACTCTACATCATCGTTGCATTGATAACCCACGTAATCGGCCGATATGGTCAGCGGAGCAGTTGAGATGACATTTAAACGGTCATTTAAAACAAAACTGTTGACGGAATGATCGTAAGCTTTAACATAGCTAAAGGTATACACTCTATTTTTACACTCCTTGTTTAAAAAATTCTGCAGTCAATCTTTTTTCGCAAGCACTCAAGGCCCTGATGGTACGTCAGAAACTCCTTCAAATCAAAATATCTTCATTGACAGTGAAAGCAGAGGAGCTAGAATAAAAACGTTGTAAATTTCTACCTTTGACGATCAAGTTAAGAGCCTTTGCCAAACTTGTGTGCTTAAAATTGAACTTACCGTTTAAAAAGAAGGTCGATGTTTCGTGCTCTAGAAACGTGAACGTTAAAATTCGCTTCTAAATTCAACCAACTAAATGATTATGATACAATGATAACATACTGACTTTAATGAAACTTCAGGAGGGTTTCCCTTGACGACTTTAACTAGCTTCTCATCACTTGCGGATCTCACGTCTTTTGTAACGATAAGTTTGAAGACGTAAGTTGCATTTGAACTTTCTAATACTGAGGCGTTCAGCACAAATAATGGTTCGTTGGAGTCCAATCTACCAACACCTGTTCCAAAACAGCCTCCACGTGATGGCTTAGGGGGGTTCAAAGGTCTGGAGACGACTTTAATTTCAAGCGGGTGCTCAGATGGGAATTCTTCACCCGCTCTTCTACATAGCCAATGAAACATAAGCAATTCCTGATGCCCTGGCCCAACATGGGGATCGAAGGATTCGCTTCCATTAAGAACGATCATCTGCGTATCTCCTTTTGTTATTTCAGTTTCACCTGAGATTATTGCTACCAGCGGTGGTAGGCGTATGAGAATAAAACCCCGATCATATGCAGTTTTTGTCACATTATCCTCTTGTTGGACCACCGTGAAATAGAAGATCAAAGTATGAACCACATTTGCGAATCCTTCATGTTGCTTAGAAGGGGTCCAGTCGTTGAATCCTGATGACGCTATAGTCCCATTGGCAAGGGCTTCGAAATCGTTCATTGACGTATTTGCTATTATCCAAGACATGTTTTGTGTCCATATCTTAGCACATCGTATTTCAACATTTGCTTTAAACGTGTAGTACGAGCTGAGCTGAAATTCTGTAGGTTGGTCAGCAGTGCGGCCCACATTAAAAATTCTTACATGCGGAGTACCACACAATAAAGTCCCTTAAAAAGAAAAGAAACCTTTACTTATTTTAACATTTGAATGGGACAGAACTTGAGTAACTATGGTCTAAATAAATATTTCTTCGATAAAGTGACTTCCGGTTTGACCTCTACTTCCATTCTTACAAAATTTTCACCTACCATAACAGAGATGAGACTCTGTGGCTGAGCAAGTACACTCGTAAGACCCATCTAAGTTTGTACAACTGGAATTGGCAGAGCAACTGGTGGGATCCTCGCACTCGTCTTTGTCTTTTACGTAAAAAGAAGCGTTATATCAACATTTTACATGAGATTCGTTACACGAAATTTAGTAAACAACTAACCAAATGCTTTTTCGTAGACGAGGTATGTGGGTAATTTTTACGACGTAAAAGACTTGTGGCGGGAAAAAACTTAATGCACCAGCGAAGGAACAACACTTGCACGTGTATATTAAAACAGGATTGTTGAGCTAAGCTTTTATGCAAAAGAAATCAATGTGCGCATAAATCGCATGTCCACCCGAGAAACTGTAATAATTTTCTTTGGCGTTTAATTCTTTCATTGAAAAAATCTAGCCCTTATACTTCCAAGTGTCACCGGGCCGTTGGTATCGAAATAATTGTAAAATCTCACTATTTACATTCATTGGTGTCAAAATAAAGATTCCTTTCATCGCAATTTCATTTTATTTATAAAGAAACGCGACCATTTTTATGATTGACATGATCATGTGATTAGAACATACAGGGAGAGAATTTTTCTCTGTCGAGGAAACGTTCCAATGTCAGACTGAGTTAAAAATTATAACTTCAAATTTTGAAAAGAAATTAATTACCAACGCAGCTTTTTCCATCCCAAGCATAGTTTTCCTGATGGCAAAGGCACTTATAGGATCCTGGCGTGTTCACACATTTTGTTGTCACGTCATCACAAACGTCCAATTCCTGAGCACATTCATCAATATCTATGGCCATAAAAGAAAGCTATTCCTCAGAACTTCCTCATCAAGTCTGATTTATCAGATCAATGGTAACTTCAATGAATTTTTTTGCACGAAAAAATGATGCGAATTTTCCTTTAGTAGGGTAATAAGAGTCTTCCCCTAAATGATACATTATGTTTGTGCCATGTAATGTGGTCAGAAATTTTTAAAAGGATTTATTTAGCTTATCTTTAACCACTATTCAGTTTAATCTATAGGGAGTAATAACCACCCTAACAGCAAAATATGCTAGATCTTAAATGTCCCCATTGTTTCGACTCATCAGTAGATAAGAAGCCAGTCCAGAACAGAATACATCGACGTTTACGAGGTTTTTGTAAGATGGCCCTTCCTCGGAAGCAAAGAGAAAAGAATTTCTCGGCCAGATCTAGAATCCTTGACGTTTGATTTTAATATGTGAAGTAAAACCAGGTAAAATTTTGTTCTCCACACTTAACCGAAACTTATATGAGTGCTCGGTAGTTTTTAAAGAGTTTCGCGTATACTGCCTGCAAGATCTTGTATTTACCTACGCACGAGCTTCCATTTTGAACAGAGCCTGGATGGTCGCATGAGCAGTTATAGGATCCCGCTGTGTTGACGCACTTAGCAGGAGCAATGCAGTCATGTAAAGCCTCTGCGCATTCGTCTATATCTGTGAAAACAGCGTTTAAGAACAATGATTATTTCTCTCATTTTCACCGACCTCTTTCTTGATGTCATTATGATCAAATGCCTGTCTTTTAGATATTCATTACCAACACAGATTTGTCCATTCCAAGCAAAATTCTTCTCGGGACAGGTGCAATTGTACGATCCGGGAAGGTTGAAGCATGTCGTAATTGTATCGTTACAGTCATCCCAATCTTTGGCACACTCATCAATATCTGTGGGTGGCAAAAGAAGAAAGGAAGGGATTTTCATTTGCATGTTACCTAAAAGAGACTATTAATAAATAGTGGGTGACCTTAAGATGTTAAAATTGGCGCTGCGCCTATTAAATTTTGTGGTCCAAGAGGGCGCTAGTTCCAGGAAGGTGGACGCAGCTGCTAATTGCTTCCAATGTCTTTGACGGTGGTTTAACATAAACAAATTAATCAACAATATATATAAATTAGATCTATAGAAAATGAGTAAAGGGAACTGGGACTAAATAACCATCAGGTTAACGAAACTGAGTGCCAGTATGTGTTTTTAGATTTACTAATCAATAGCGAGACATGCACGACGTACCAATGCACATGCTACCATTATAACTGTATCCTTTTTGTTTGCATAAGCAGTAATACGAGCCAGCAGTGTTTACACAGGAAGCAGAGCCAGGGCAGTCATGTGAACCATCGGCGCATTCATCTATATCTAAGAATGGAACGAGGATGTATGTTGTCTCGTACTGGATTGTGATAATAATTGTAGAAAAAAGAAAAAGTTAGTCATAACTTTGTTTACATTTAACAAATAAGGTATTTTGGAGTCGCACGAATTTATCTTTTCATCTCTTTGCGCTGCGTTCGTTGAATGTCGCTAACGACGTCTTGCTGAGGATTTTAAAATAGCAGTAAGTCATGCAGGCCTATAAAAGATCCCCCGCGCCTGTGGCCATGACCGATAGGAAGGGGACTAAGAGAGATAAACAGCAGTCCTGCTGACTAAGTCCCCTCCACTTCAATGCTCTAACTCTTATCGCCATGTGATTTATCTAATGTTGAAGCCTTCTACTATAATATACTCGAGATCTAATCGTGCTTTTGCTGGTGACTTACCATCGCATTGAAGACCTCTCCCAACAAAACCATTTTTGCAGAGGCAGGTAAAGTTATTACTTGTATTGACGCAGTGTGCTCCATAATGACAACTTGTAATGTCGACATCAGCGCTACACACGGTTACCCCTCGTTCCTGGACTGGTAGATAAAAAAGAACTATGATCAATTAACTGACCCTGAAAGTGGATATTTCGTGGTGACTCATCTTTCTGACAAATTGTTAGCTCTAAGAGTCTACTTTGGAGCAGCTGCTGTATCTTTCACTTTTTTCCGTACTTTTACACGTACATGGACACCAGCACTTCTCGAAGACTTGTCTGCTTCAACATTGTCAATATTGGTTAACTTTTTTTACATGATCGAGGATTTTAAAAGTTACTCAGCTCAGGAAAGTTTTTAACAAAATTTTGAAGTTCGGACGCACAAACTGGTTAAAGAGACCATTGTATAAATATATTCCATAAATTAATTGATAGATGTACCGATCAACCGGTGTAATTGCCTGTCTGACCAATTCACTATGATCGACGGACTGACAGACAGCTGAGGAAGTTAGGAACAGAGGGACTTCGTGACTGACACACTGACTAACTCACTGAGCGCCTGACGGACTCCACGACCGAACGACCGACCGACCGAAAGATTTAAAGATATTAAATATTTATTTTTTACTGAACGTCAATGTATTTACGTATCGCTCGCATAAAATGTATTGAACACCCTCGACAGACATAGCAAAACAAAAAATTTTGCACGAAAAGCTTCGAAATAAACTTACGAACGACGGCACACGTTGTCTTTGCTATTGTATCCGCCTTCGAAACCAGATCATTGAATTCAGTTGCAAGGAAAATATCGTCTTGTTGTTCAGTCACCATCCTCATTTCCGTCAAATCTACCGAGGGACCGATTCCAACGGCAAAAATACGAGCAGACTTAGAGCGGAGGAGCTGCACAGTATTCAAAATTGGAACATATGCCGGTGTCATAAAGTCATTTCTAGTTTGTTTCCCATCAGTTAACAAAATGACCAGTCTCTGTGTTTCGTTCGAACTTGTCGAGAAATACTCATCATAGGCCTTACGGAGTGCAAGGTCAATACGTGTAAATGCCTGAAAATATGGTATCTTGTCCACAGCGGTGGCAAAGGACATTGCAGTTTTCATCTCTCCTAACTGGATCTCGTTAGAGGCGTGATTGCTGAATACAATTGCTGCAACTCGACTACTATTTTCTAAGTCATATCGACTAGCCAAAATCTTCATGAAGTCCTTTTGCTTTTCGTAGTTATCTCTTCCAACGCTGCCTGAGGCGTCTATTGCAAAGATGATGTCCACTGGAACTAAGCATTTTTCTGGAGCTGTGATAAAAGAAAAACAATGTCGTCATAATATCATCTGCGGTTTAAGCCTCCGGCTAGAAAAAAAAGGATATAAAACCGGAAGGTAGAGGATATAAGAGTGGAATAAGAGCAGAGTGTTATAAACTAGCAGTAATAAACAAGAAGCAAACATGCTAACTGTATATGAGGTTCATTTTAAAACCTACCAGTGCAGCTGGTGCCGTTACCAGAGTATCCAGGAACACATGCACAATCGTGATAGCCATTCTGGTTTTTACAGTACGCGTCCTTGTGGCAGGCATCTGGTAGAAATTCGCACTCGTCGATATCTATGAGAGAATATTACGGAAAAGTTATCCCCTAGTTTGTTCTAGGCACTCAGTCTGCTGAGACGTGTGAAGTAGCGGGCGAACGACAATTAGCGGTAATGGTTGCCATGGAAATGAATGACCCTGACATTTCCACTCGTTCCTTTCATCGCTCGCTCGTTTCTGTTGACTGCAAGTTAGGCACAGGCTTTCGTTACTTACACCAGCATAACTTCCTTAAGTTTTATGTGTAACGTGATATTAGAGACCTTACGGCATGACAACAGCGACGGCAATAACGACGTAAAAGTACTGGGTCGAGGCCATCGGGCTGCCGTTGACGTTCACGCCAAAGGTTTATAATTACGAAAAGATCTTGGAAACTGTGTTGTTTTCGGCAATTGTGAACCTTTGCGTGTTTAGTTACTTGCGGATTTCGTTCAGTTCTTGTTGATAGATATAGGTCAAATATCG